TGCTGAGGAGTTTCACAGAGTCCCAGAAGTCCTCACTGTCCCAAAGAGGAAGCTTTTCATGCAATTCCTCCCAAATACCGCTATGGAAGTCCACCTTCATCGGTAGGCAGAGGGGGGTGGGAGTGGGGTTGCAATACCGTTGGATCTTGGGTCTCTGATATGGAAGATGCTGGCCTTTGAGTCTGTGACCCAGTGGTTCCCAAGGGACCCAAGGACTGTTTGCAATCTAGACCAACCCTGTGTAAAGAATTCTAGCCAGTTGACCCTTGCTGAAGGCTGGAAAGTAATTTTTCAACTGTGGTCGAAGCCCTCTGAAGCCTCTGCTGGGTCTAGATTTGCAAACTCATTCCACCCAAGTGCATGCTGTCCCCAGGACTGGCTGAAGGGGAGGGGAAAGCAACCTCCTCCGGGAGGGAGCTGCTGATGCCAGGTTGGCTGAACACCCTGGGCATCTGCCCTCTGCCGCGCCTGCCAGGAGCACTGGTCAGCCACTTCTGGCTCAGCACCTGGGCCTGAATCAGGGGATTCTTCCAGCAGAGCTACCTGGGAGGGATGGGGGAGGAGATGAGCTGCTGGCTTTTTAGTTCTCATTAGCTTTTCTTTGGTGTTAGCTGGGGAGGGAGGAAAGGGCAGGTGGGGAGGGAGAGGGAGTGTGGATGACAGCTGGCTCTCAGAGCTTCCTGATATCCATCTGACTTTCCTGCTTCATTGCTTGGCAGGCAAGACAGAAACGCCTGTTGCAGAGATGCCACCGTGCACATGCCAAGGCTCCCTCAGCCCCCTGCCCTTGCTGTTTCAAGTCCTTGACAAAGTTCAACTATGACGTTCTCTTAGGAAGGGGTGACCTGGTCCTGGTCCTCATCTCCACCCTCCTCTGTGGCCTCCTGTGTGGCCCCATGTCCCATCTTTGGAGCCCAAGGTTATAGCTGATGAGGCTCTCAAGAGGGCAGCCGAGGATTCGACTGAGTTCCTGGGCCAATGTGTCCAGGGAGGCTAATGCCAGCGTCACTTGGAGCTGCCACTTCTAATTTAAGTGCCATCACTCTGAGGAACTGCACCCAAGGAGCAGGGGCCTTTCTCTAGCTTCTCCCCAGGATGATGACTTTGGCCACCTTCCCCCGAAGAGACAATCTAGTCACTACTCTTGAGTCTTGGCTAACGGCCCTTTGCATCCTCTTGCCTCTTCTCATCCGTCCCCCTGATCCTCTATGTCAGAGTCAGCTCCTGGGAGGCCGGTCCCATTCTGTGGTAGACCCCAAAGTCATGAGCATGCCTAAGAGAGAACCAGGAGGGTGTGCCCTGCAGCTCTGGTCACCCTCACATTTGTCAACAGCAAAATCAGAAAGATGGCAGGGAATGGCAGGCTGGTTTGTGCTGAGTGGCAGGAAATAGTCTTTAGTTTGAGAACCTTCCTCCCCTCTCTCCCCCCCATCGGTAATGCCTCGGACTTCCCACCAAATAACCCGAAGGAGATGGCTGATGAGGCTAAGGTAACCACAGTGGTGGGCCAGATGTTTCCTACTGTGGCTCTCATATTTTATAGCCACCGTGAAAGGAAGCTTCCTGAGGACAGGGTCAGGGAGGGATAAGCTCCATTCATTTGATGGGAGGCCATGTCTGGGGCTCCCTGGACCAGGACCACCATGGTGTGAGTCATTCATAGCACAAGGGCAGCTGAGGGTCAATAGGAGCTGAAATCCAGCCTGGGCTTTGCTCGGCCAGCTGTGCATCTGTGGGGCTGGGCCCGTGAGAGGGAGTCCTGTTTCTGTTTCTGATAGAGCTGCAACATGGGCTAGTTATGCCATGCCATGACTTTCAGTTATGTTTGGTTCTGAACCTGGGTCTTCCCTGTCAAGTAAGCAGGGCTTTGCACAGGCTTGGTGGTCCCAGTCACCAAAACCAGCTTATCCCCAGACATTGGCTTTGTATAGTCAAGGTCTGGGTGACTCAGAAAGAAGCTTCTATTGGAAGGAGAGGCTCACACAGAACTTTCTCATTTGGGGGTTCCAAGGCCCCTTCTACACACAAAGGAACATGCCCCTAGCAGCACCCATGAACTGCATTAGGCAACCCTCCAGGATCTCATATATAAGGGGGCATCTGCACCTTCAACAGGTAATCCCTCTGTTCATGATACACCTGAGCCTTGGAAAGAACAATTTGCTTTCTGCAAATGTCCCTCCTTTTCTTTGAAAAGGAGGGACATTTGCATGGGAGAAATTTGGATTCAGATTTCAGTCTTGATAAGAAGCTAGTTGACTGAGCTAACCAACCACCAAGATCAACATTTCTTGCTACCCATTAGTCCTAAATAGCAGCTGGTCTCATATCCTTGATCTTCGAGCTGCCCAGCTTCACACATTCATTTTCCCATCATTAGCCCTAGGACATGGATGGTCTTCCATACATCTTTCCCAGCACCATGACAATGCTATTGAACTAGCCTTTCATTGAGTTTTATAGTTCACAGTATGTAGCAGATGTACAGGCATATTGGCTGATTAGATCTCTGAGCTGTTGAGACCAAGTTCTTGGGATCCAGCCTCAAACACCCTGCGAGTTGCCATTGTTCTATGGCCACGGGCTGTTCCCTCAAACTCAGCCGCCTCTCGTGGGGATGAGGTGTCATCCCAAAAGCACAAGGAGCATGGATGGATCCGTGCAAATCCATCTCCATTTCCACCACTGGAACCAACGCACCAGAACACACCACCCATTAAAGTCTTCATAAAAGAACAGCAGAAAGTTTAGGATTTTTTTTTTTTTTAAGTTTGGGCCTTTTATCATATAGATGCTAAAAGTTTCAAAAGCTTGGGAATTCTTCTCCTTCAGTTGGCCCTGAAGACACCTCTGTACAATCTCCCCTGTGCACACTCCACACGCTGGGAAAGTGGTGCTTTCTCATTCCAAACGCTTTGTTAACAAATCTGGGAGGCCCACTGAACCAACACCACTTCTGGGATGAAGGGGCAGCGATAAATGCTCTTCCCAGAGCTTCAGCGAGATTATTCTCGCCTTTCCTGATACCCACTTCTCATGCAAAGCAGCCTGGAGATCTTTGGATGTCTTGTCTTAATACATCCAAAGAGAGAGTCTTCCTCTCTCACACCTCTGGCTCCTGCGGGCAACCTGGAGGGCTCTGCCTTCCCAGTCTCCACTGACAGTCCAAGTTACCTTGTAGTACACTCAGGGCCTGTCCACAAAATCCCTAAGTATTATCTGCCCACACATCCTGGCTCAAAAGAGACGGAGACGAATAGGTTCCTACTGCTCTCTACCAGGCCTCGCCTTAGACAGCCTGTGGCATCTCTCTTTTTTCTCCCCTGTTAGTCCTCACCTGAGGATATTTTCCCATTGATTTTTAGGGAGAGTGGAAGAGAGAGGGAAAGACAAAGAGAATCTATGTGTGAGAGAAACACATAGATTGGTTGCCTCCTTGCATGAGCCCTGACCAAGGCCTGGGCCAGGGAGGAAACTGCAACCAAGATACATGTCCTTTGACTGGAATCCAACCTGGGACCCTTTTGTCTGCAGATTACACTCTATCCATTGAGCCAAACTGGCCTGTGTCAGCCATGAAGACAGACAGGGCACAAGCAGGCCTCACATTCTGTAAGCTCTGACTTTTTAAGAGGAAAGACCATAGAGAGGGAGACCAAAGAAGAGAAACGATGAGCACCCATATTTTAACTGTTATCTCAAGACACTATGATGTTTACATCCAGCAAATTCAAAATAATGTTTAAATTCAGCTAACGTGCCTCTAGTTTCACCTGGGTAAACAACTAGGTTGCTTTCAACCCAGAATTCTTAGATTTTATGCTAAAAGGATGAAATAAAGATGCGAATCATGCAGTTATCCAGTTTTACAAAGACTTCTCTCTTCAACAGAGACGGGAAAAGACAAATGGACATCTGGGGGCTCTACCCTTGAAAAGAGAAGAGTGGCCAGTTCCATTTGTGGGGTCCCTGCTCCTGGCTGCCACGTTGGTTCCCTCTGGTTCGATATTAACAGCGCAGGCTGGGGCCCAGACACTCAGCATCTTGTAAGCGAATGACGGGTAAGTGAATGAGTGGAACTGAATGCTGTGCACCAAGCCCCATGCCCTAATCTTACAGAGAAAGGCCTGGAAAGGAGAGATGGGTCTGTGCTGTTCTATAGACCATAGAACCGAATCTCCGCTGTGCCCCATGGGAAGACTATTCATTCTGCACGCTCACCTGTTACCATGGGGCCTCCTCTGTGCCACTGCACCAATTTCTACCTCATCTGAACTCAGTGCGCATGGGGTAAGGCCACTTCCCCACAGGAACAGCGAACCTGCAGCCCATCGTGACTCCCTCAAGGCCTTGCCCCTGGGAGTGCAGGGACAGAAAAGGGACCTGCTTTCCCCCCTCCTCCCCCAGGGCCACCTGCTTTCTTCTCCCTGACACACTACACACATGAGGCTGACGAGGACTGTAAGTCATGCAGAGGCCACTAACACACGCCAGCTAGACCACACGGCCAGCACCCATGCAGCACGGCCACCTCCTGCGCACGCGAAAGCCGCCTACACAGCAGCAGCAGCTCGCAGCCCGCTCCCGCGGGCCTGCCGGCGTTCACAGAGGGAAATTTGGAATGTTTTTTTTATAGATGAGCTACGGTTCTGAGCCAATTTATTTCGTGAGACAGTTCGATGGCCTTCTCCCTGGGCTGCTGCAGAAGATGCACAAACCGCGCAGCCCCCAGGGCGGCGGCGGGTCCTCTCTCCTCGGAGCCCTGCACGGAAGGTCAAATGCGAAGCTCGAGGCTGGCGGTCGGGTGTGCACCTTCTGCAGAGGGAGCCGCTGGGGCTTTTGCAAATCCATCCCTAGAAGTGAAGCTGCAGACACTTGCAAAAGAAAAGGGATGTGTTGAGGGGGAAAGCACTGGACTCCCTCCCGCCCCAGAGGGAAGGACAACATAAAAAACCGAGGAAACCAGAGGCACGGGAGGGAACAAAACCAGCTGAACTTACCACACTGCGAGTGAACTTTTCTAAGGAAGTTCTACGACCTTGCTCACTTTCTGGCTTTAGGAAAAACAAACAAAGGAAAAAAAAGGTAGGGAGAAAAATACAGAAAGAAAAAAAAAATCTTCAGCTTACACGTGGTTTCCAAACAGCACAGCGGCAACTAATGGACAGAAAGCGAAACAGGGCGCAGAAATGGGAAGAGAGAAGCAGCCAGCGCTGAATGCGGGGGTCAGTGGGGCAGACAGGAAACAGAAGCCCTGGAAGATGCTGCTCTAAGGAGCAATGAGGGGTGTGTGCGTGCGTGCGTGCATGCGTGCGTGTGTGCATGTGTGTGTGTATGTGTGTATGTGTGTGTGTGTGTGCCTCCAGGGCTCATTAAATGTCCTTGGGGCGCAGTAGGAGCCACGGCAGCTCTGCAGCCCGCAGACAGCAGTTGTGGCTGTCTGCTCACTGCTTTCCATGGGCACTGCCTGGTGGTGTGTTCCTCGGCCCACAGGCAGCCATGGGGAGGGAGAGGGGAGACAAGTGGGGACATAGAACAGTTTAGTTCTCAGGGCCCTCAGGGTGTGCTGATGGGATGTCAAGAAGTGGCTGAGGATCTGGGTTGCAACTTTCCTCTGAGATTTTCCTGGCCGGATCAGCTAGAAAGTTTGCTGCCTTCCGTGTCTCCTTCATGGCCCCCCACTGGCTCTCATTCTGGGTCCTTAGAGTAAGGAGGCTCTACCCATGTCCTTTGCAAAGGGACCGGAGCTTTAGAGGAAGGTTCTGGAAAGAAAATGCTCTCTGTACCTAGGCAGGTGACCCCTTCCAAGGTTTACTCATGGCCAGCTGCAGGAGGGGTAGGGATTTTCTAGGGAACTCCTACTGAGGGGCCCGCAACTGGGGCAAAAAGAGGCAAAGCCTACGGATACTCTAGGACTAGGCACTCACTACCAGCAGAGGAGGAGTTGGTGTGGTGGGCAACTGACTCTCTCCCCAGGTGTTCTGCTTGTTCAAGAAGTTTGGGGAGAGAATTAAACCCCCAAAGACCTGCTAGTTTATCCTAGAGCCCTGTCCCAGGGCCTAGAGCCCAAGACTGGGAAATTTGGAGAGAATACCCACTCACATGGACACACACACACACACACACACACACACACACACACAGCAAATAGTGGGAATTAGGGAGCTGAAGAAGCAGCCACGGGTCTGTGGGTGTGTACCATGTGCCAGGCGCAGAGGGGGATAGCCAAGAGCAGCCACCTGCCCGTGTGGACAGGTCAGAGGGCTCCCTTGGCAGTCATGTCTCCACCCCCTCAGCTGGCTGCCCGAAGACAGACAGGGCATTGTAGAAGGAAAACACAACCTTAGGACCCAGCACTCAGAGCCAGGTGGTCTCTCTCCTGGCAAAGGGACCAAAGTTTCCACGCTTGGCCCTGAGCAACACACCAAGTGTCCGCTCTGGGGACGGCAGAACTGAGCTTCAATACAGTGGGCGGCCCAAGGGCATGCAGTTGGCTGTCAGGCCAGCCCAGGCCCTGCAGCGAGTAGGACCTGTGCCTGTCATCCCTGGGCTGTGGCGACTGAGTTGCTGCTGGCAGAGGGGAGCCCTCAGCTGGGCTCAATCGGGTTCCTCTGCCTCACACAGCCTCTCCCAGGAGCCTGGTGCTTAATTGTCTCGGAGGAGCTGTCAAAACCCAGCTCGCTTGTTCCTTGGGAACTTGGTACATCAAAGTGACTAACCTTATCTTCCATTCTTAGCACAGAAGGTGAGCCAGGGATGAAGGACCAGAGACTGTGTCTCCAGACCTTTCTCAGCAGAAAAGTGAGGCCCATTCATATTCCCTCTCTTAGCAAGAAGTGTGATTCTCACACACCTTTTATGACCTGGACAGTTATAAGCCCATCCCTGAAATCCGAAGATTCTAGGCCTACCTGCAAGTGCCGAGTTACAAATCCAGTCCACACCTGGAGACTCTCAGAAGTGGGGGAGGGGGAGAGGGGGAGGTAAGTTTTGTTACTATTTTTGGAAACAATGAACCCCTGGCTATTAAAAGGGTGTCAGTGTCTGGGAGGACTTTCTGTCACAAGAATGGCCCTGGGTTCCTCCTCTGAGAAGTCTCCTCTACGAGAGGATCTGGGGGCACAGGCATCCAGCCCCTCCAGAGCTGGGCTGCATTTTCTCTTTGTGCTCAAACCCTCTGAACAGCCTCTGGCTTCTGCTGAGTGTATAGATAGGCCCAGGCAGCTCAGTCTGCAGAGCCTCAGCATTTCCCCAAATTGTGATCAGTTCTGGGTCATGAGCCATAAGGATAAGAAACTTACTTTGACATTCTCCCATGAGATTTGGGCTGGATACCCAAAGTCTCCATAACCTTCCTTGAAAAAAATGGGCATCAGACATTTGTCAGAGCATCAGCCCCTCCTCCTCCATCCTCTTGCAGGGAACTGGCAAGAGGCCAAGCTTCACATTTTCCATCACAGCAGTGGCACCTGAGAGACACCTGATGAAGAGGGTGAGGCCACCGAGAAGCTGGGTTTCTGACAATCTGGTATTCCAAGGTCCTTTACTGTTCCCCAGACTATCAGGGATGTCCTCAGGGCTCCTTGAGGGCATGAGAGCATATACATGTGCTCATGGAGACTCTGGAATTATGTGGTACTATAACTCTAGCAAAGAGACCAACCAGATATGCAGACAGGACCCTGGCACAGGAGGTGGACAGAACACAAAGGGAGAAAGGCTACCCACAGAGCATGGTGATGGACACCACGTGCCGAGGGCCTGGGGTTGGAAGGCTGGGAGCGGAGAAGAGAGGATGAAGATGCGTATATTCCTCAAAGTACATGGCATGGAAGTCGTGGGATGTGGTGCGAGGAGAGACACGCTTAGCCACACGTGGGCCTCAGATCAGAGCTGGAAAGTGCAGAGGATTTGCAGGAAACATGAGCCACTTTTCAAGCCTCCCCTCTCTCAGACCTCAGGCCCCTCTCGACTCTCCCTTCCCTCCTCCCAGGAACCCAGATGAGTTCATCCCTGCTTCGGTCACCCCTCACCACCTGCATGCTGAAGGTGCCTGGGTCCCCAAATCCAGGTGCTAAGGGCTGCTGGGAACTATGACATCATTCTCATGGAGGAGGGGGAAGGAGCTAGGATATGGCTACTTCTTGGTTAAGAGAAAACACACACTGTGGGCGGGTGAGGGAGAGGAAGTGGGTGTCAAGGAGGGAATGATCCCAGCAATGACTTCCGGTGCCAGATGGCCCCCTTGAAACCTACAAGGTTTTCTCTCCAACTCTGAGCTGGTGAGGGAGAGACAATCTGTGGGGTTGTTTTTGAGGGGGGGGGAGATTCGTACTGAGGGGCTCTCTCTGATTTCCTAAGGGGTTCACTGATGTCCTGCCAGCCCGGTACTCATGTCCTAAGCCACTGTGGTCACACTCCCTGCTGTGGGCACAGCTCGCAGTTGGAGGTAATGAGCACATGGAGACAGGATGCCACACCATGGGCCTGGGGGTGGTGACAATCCTAACTGTCTTCCATTGGAGCGGGAGCAGATAGAGAAGGGAAAGAAGAAAAGAAAAGGTAAATAAAACCCAAGGGGTGATATTCTCACTTCACACCGGCAGCAAGCAGCAGGCAAGGATCAATAGTGCTAAGAAAGGCAAGGCTGCCCTTTCCAAAGATACCTTCTTCTTGGCCAGCAGCAAGTCCTGGTAAGCATTTGACCGGAGGAAGCGGGCGTAGCTGTCACTCTTCATCAGCTTGTAGATGTGCTCCTGGGAGGGAAGGAGGCAGGAGACACAAGAAGGGACTGTCAGCCGATACGAAAGGGGATTACCACCCAACCAGCCACCGTTTTAGGGGAGAAATGAATGAACCAAGTAAGCGTGTGTGCACTTAGGAAAACTTGCCCCCTGCTTGCCTTGTGTTTTTGTCTCACCCATAAACACCAAACAACACGTCTTATTTATTGGAATAAAAGGCCTTTGAGGATTGTGTTCTTGGTGCCATGTTAGGATGCAGTACTGCTCAATGATGAAACCACAGGCAGAGCAATGAGAAGAGACAAACTATTGACACACTCAACCACTTGGTTGAACCTCAGGGAATTACAGTGAGTGAAAAAGCCCCAGAAGGCTACGCACTGGAGGACTCCTCTGATGCAGCATTCTTTGAGTGACAAGTTAGAGAAACAGACAACAGACTAATGGTTGCCAGGGACTAGAGATGGGAGAGAGAAGGAGAGGAAAGGGAGGTTTGATGAAAGACAATAGAAGGATTCTGTGGTGATGGAAGGATTCTGTATCTCAGCACATCTTACACATGTGAGAGTTGTACATTGTACAGAGCTAAACACACACATTACACACGAGTACCAGCAAAATTAGGAAATCTGATAAACTCAGTGGATATAGCAATGTTGATATCATGGCTATGATGTTTTACTATAGTTTTGCACATGTTACCATTAGGGGAAATTGGATAACTGGTATATCTCTGTATTATTTCTTTTAAAAAATTATATATAATATATATATATATATATATATATATATATATATATATATATATACACACACACACACACACACACTAGAGGCTTAATGCAGGAAGATTCGTGCAAGAATAGGCCTTCCTTCCCCTGGATGCTGGCACCAGCTTCCCTCTAGCTCCTGGGACCTGGGCCTTCATTCTGACCGCCACCTTCTGCCTTTGCTCCAGCCTTGCCACCTTCCCATGGCTTGCTCCACCCCTGCGTCCCCCTCTCACAGCAGGCATCCTACCCCGCTCTAGCTGCTCTGCACCTGCGCCTGCACGCTGCCCAGAGCCCAGAGCAGCTGGGGCAGGGCAGAAAGCCATCTTTGTCACATCGATTTGCATATTCCCTCCTTATTGGCTGTGGGCACCACCATATTTGTTGAGGAGTGATGGTCAATTTGCATATTACAGTTTTATTAGATAGAATATATATAAATTGGTTTCAGGGAGGAAGGGAGAGAAAAAGAGAGATAGAAACATCAATGATGAGAGAGAATCATTGATAGGCTGCCTCCTGCACACCCCACACTGGGAATCCAGCTGCAACCAGGGTATGTGCCCTGACTTGGAATCTAACTGTGATCTTCTGGTTTATACTTCAATGCTCAACCACTGAGCCACACCGGTTGGACTGTATTATTTCTTTCAACTGCCCTGGAATCCAGAAACATCTCAAAATAAAAAAAAAAATTAATTAAAAAAGAACTCCACATGCAATGATACAATTGGATCAGTTGTGTATGTCCAGGCCACCAGCTCATCCTGGAAGGGTGCCCTTGGAAGCAGATCTTGCAGCACATGGGCAAATATGCCATGCCTGAGGCTCACATCCAGGAGGACAGATGCTGTGGCATGGTGCCTTCTCTTCTCCTGGGCTCCTACTTAAATTCTGAATTTGGCAACAAATTTCACCCTTGACTTCTCCATAGCCTCCTGGTCCCTTCCTAAAAGATCTGTCCTCGCTAAGGACAGAGAAAGCCTGGTTCATTAAAAGAGGGGGTTTATCCACTGAAAAAGGGCTATTTATCAGTTGAACTGGAATATAGCTCAGCTGCACAAGAAGCCTGGCTGTCGCAGGAAAGGACCCGCGAGAAGGTGAGAGGGATTGTCAGGCAGAAGCCGGCCTAGTAAGGAAGCATCTTCCCGGATGCACATCATAGTTCACCCTATGAAGCTGGACCAGAGTTCCAGTGCTTGGGAGAAAGGAGAGCTGGTCAGGGAGGAAACGGCTCCGCTGAGTGCTACACTGGTCCTTAAGCACCTCTTCCTCTGGTACTCTTCTAAGGGGAGGGGTGGGAAAGAGTCCCCTCTCCCCAACAACCTCACATTTCAGAGATACCTGGCCAGACTGCTGGCACATCCCAGAGGAAGCTGAGGCAAGACCCTCTCCCTACCCATCACAAAATAAAGTGAAAGCAGAGAGCAGAAAACCCCTTGGGCCCCATGTGAATCCCTCTCCGCCCATTTTCAGTTGGATCATAAGCAGACCTATCGGGGCATCAGCTTCATTCTTCCTCATATTTATAAAAGCAAGGTGCAACCCTATTAATGGGAATGGGCCCACTGCAAGGAGCCAAGAGAAATTAGCTAGTGGCTTGGATCAGAGCCTGCTTGCTAGTCCAGATGTGTTCAGATTGAATACATTTAGTGAGAACATGCCTCGCTGTTTTCCTGTAAATTTCAGACAAAGTCCAGCCCACTCTAGTTTTAAGTTCCTCAAGGGAACAATATGTTTTGATCTCATCTATGCATAGCATCCAACAAAGGGTCAAATGTTAGTGGAACTTACATTGTTTCTTGGTTCATAGAAATGCTTCTTTGAATTTAACATTCAACACGTTTGCTGGCTCCATACTAGTTTTGGTTTATGACCTGATCAGTTCCTGCTCTCTCATAGGAGAGTGGGGATCACGCTCAGTCCCAGGGAAGCCCATATGTGAGCATCTTGGTCCATCCTGATGGCCTCAGAGCCCAGACTGAGGGCCATGATGGTCTTTGCATTTTTTCCTTTTTTTATTGTTTAAAATATTTCCTATATTAGTGTGTGTGTGTGTGTGTGTGTATATATATATATATATATATATATATATATATATATATATCTCCTTTTTTCCCATTTGACCTGGTCTTTGCATTTTTTTTTTTGTCTCTTTAAATTGTCCTAGCACTTAGCCGAAACCGGTTTAGCTCAGTGGATAGAGCGTCGGTCTGAGGACTGAAGGGTTCCAGGTTCGATTCTGATTAAGGGCATGTACATTGGTTGCGGGCACATCCCCAGTAGGGGGTGTGCAGGAGGCAGCTGGTCAATGTTTCTCTCTCATTAATGTTTCTAGCTCTCTATCTCTTTCCCTTCCTCTCTGTAAAAAATCAATAAAATATTAAAAAAAATAAATTGTCCTAGCACTTAATTCTTAGGTACAGCAGTACAAAAGAAGGATCATTTTCTTATCCTTTGAGACAGCATAGAGGGACCTGGAGAGTATTATGCTAAGTGAAATAAGCCAATCAGAGAAAGGCAAGTATCACATGATCTTACTCATGTTTGTAATCTAATGAACAAAATAAAGTGATGAACAAAATAGATCCAGAGACATAAAAGCATGGAACAGGCTGTCAAATCTCAGAGGGAAGGTGGGGGCTGGAAGAGATCATTCAAAGAACTTGCATACATATATGTACAACCCATGGACACAGACAATAGGGTGGTGAAGGCCTGGGGTAGGGTTTGGGGTTGGGCTAGAAAGGTCAATGGGGAAAAAGAGAGGGACATACGTAATACTTTCAACAATAAAGATTAAAAAAAAAAAATCTTAGGTACAAATGTTAATGCAGAGGAAAAACGACTCACTGTCTCCTTCTTTTCAGCTCAGACATCACTTCTTTGTAGCCAACATAGCTAGGTGGCTCTTGAATCATTTGAAGAGACCTGTCAGTCATTCCCGGGACCTTCTCTAAATCCCTGTCCAAAGCAAGTTTCCTGCCTGTTGTTCTGACTTCCCAGAGGAATCTGAATTCCCACTATGTCTCACAAAATACCCCATTACACAGGAGGCGTAGGGAAGCCTCTCCTAGCCCAGCCCTCCTGGCCTTGGCAACAAATTACATCCTGCTCCAGCTAATTCGTCCAGCATCATTATGTGCAGGAAAAGCCTAGTCCACAGAAAGAAAGACCTTATGAATTAAAAAAGAGTTGGATAAAGCAGATGCCTAAGCACTTAATCTCACAAATACACCAGCAGTTATTTATTGAGCATCTTGTAGGTGCCAGACCCTGTGTCCGGCTTTGAGATTGCAGCCTGAGAAGTCAGAAGAGGTCCCTGCTGTTGTAAAGATTCTATTAGGCAAGGCTGATGTGCAAAGATCACGGATGGCTACTATCTAAGTCCTGTCAGATCCAAGTCACTATTTAATTTTGTTTGGCTCCTTGCAGTGGGCCCATTCCCACTGGTAAGGTTACACTCTGCTTTTGTATTATAAATAGGAAAACACATTTGAGCTAAAGTCTACAAAGAAGTGAAAGTAGAGAGTGCTGTGAATGGGTATGAATGGCCAGATGTGGGGAATTGTTGTCTATCAACCAGAAGGGTTCCCACCAGAGTAGGAAGACCTTAGCAGACAGGAATGGGAATGGAGGGTAGGACAGCCTGGCCTTGCTGCTGTATAGATTTGTCAAGCAGAGCAAAAAGGACAATCCAGGGGCAAGGAGAAAGGAGCAGCAGACAATGGTGGTCTACACATAGGGGTGGTGGTGGTGTCAATGTGGGTCAGAGGAGTGGTTGGGCATAGCTGTTGTCCTCCTCAGGTCATATGGACAATGTCACAGCCAGAACCAAGGTGGGATGGCGTGGGAAGAAAGTAGGAGGGAAAACTTGACCTATTGAAGGTGGGCTGCATAAGGTGACCTTACTCTGTCAACCCTGTTGCTAGCCTCTGGCCATCCCCAGGACAGTCTCAGATTGCCCTATCAAAGCAGATGCAAGGCATGGTCTACGGAAAAGCAGAATCAAGAACCTCTGCAGACCTCCTGTGCCCCCTGCAGGGCCGTGACTTTGGCCCCTCTGGACTGGGCCTTCCTTTCCCACAGGCTGCAGATCCAGGATTCCTCCACCTGCCTCTCCTCCACCAAGCAAAGCAATGGAGCCTTTGATGTACCCAGTTCTGGAGCTCTGTTCCTTCCTCCTTGCCAGCTTTGTCTTGGAAACACAAAGACAGTAAACAAGGGGTGGGTGAATGGTGT